TCTCGGTGAACTTGGTGTAACCGACCATGCATTGACTTCGGAAGTCAGCGCCACTGAGTTTAATGGGACTTGCTCCCAAGTAAGTGCGCGGGTTTGCAGTTTTGGGGACGATGGGCTTCCTTCAGATGAACCCCGTAGAGTCGACTAGGTTAGATGCTCGCGCGTCTGGCAGTGTGCGACTGGGAGTCGATCCGGATTAGTCGGATCCGGCGCGGACTGCGAAGTCTTTGTATGAGCATCGCTCGCTCGCTCGCTCTCCTTCGCGAGCGCCCGCGCTCTTCGCCGAGGAGGCGCATCGGCCGCGAGCCCCGTCCGCGGCCCAGACGCGATGACGCCCGCAGCGTGGGACGAGGCACGTGGGCGTGGCCGGGGGCAGGGAGCACGCGGGGGGGGCGAGGGCGGCGTGCTCGGGAGTGGGCAGGGCGGACCCTCCCGCCCCGGAAAGGGTTAAAGCGGCAGCGGGGGGGCGGAGTCCGGGCCGGCCCTGGGAATAAGGCGCCGCCGCCCGGCCGCCTTCGCTCCCTTTCGCGGAGCGGTCGTCGGCTGTGCCGGGGCGGCGCGCAGGGAGCGGAGCAGATGGTTGCCGGCGACTCCCCCGGGAATATGAAGCCTCGGTCCGGCAGCTCTCGCCGGCGCAGCGGAGGATAGCGACGGAGGCGGGCGGGCGGGCGAGGGGGTCCCGGCCGGCCATGAGCCCCCGCGGGCGGCGCCCAGACTCGCGAGGACTGATCCTGCGCCGCCCGGTTGCGCTGCGCCCCGGCCGGCAGCAGCCTCGCTAGGGAGCCCTGCGATCGGAGTGGCTTCGCTGTTCAGCAAGGACTTGGGGCTCCCCCGCTTCCCTTCGCCCCCCTCCCTCCCCGCAGCTCCTTTTCTCCTGAAATTTTGTCTTTCCTTCTTTTTTGTCTTCTCTATCGTCCCTTACCAAGTCTTCCTGGCATCATGCTGCTCCGTCTGGGACCCACCCTCTACGGTAAGAGAGACCCCCCCCAAAAAAATCCTTCGGGGTACATAGTTTGGTGTGTGCTGCTGATTGGAAGGCGAGGATCTGTTGGGGGAGGGGGCGAAAGGACGGCGGGACGTCGCGTGTGAACGGGCTGTGGGGAGTGCCAGAGGAGCAAAGCAGAGCCTGGCAGGTGCGAGTTTAGAGAAGGAGCGAAGTCGACCCCCCCGTCCCCTCCGAGGCGCCCCTTTTGCAAGCATGGGAGCCTCCCGTGGGGTAGCCTCGCCTTCCATCCCACCCCGCCCTGCCTCCCCACGCCAGCGCCCGCCTAGCCTAGCCCCACAGCGACCTTGAGGCGAAAAAATCTCCAAAGGCGCTATTATGTTCACGTGGCCGGGAGCTCCAGGGCTGCTCCCTGGAGCCGTTCTGGCTCGGCGTGTTCGGAAGCAACCGCTGCTCGATCCCGTTTCCCGTCGGAGCCGTGCCCGGTGCCCGGCCGCCTCGCAGGAGCGATGCCTTGCAACTGAGGCGGAGGGCAGGACCGACTGAGCGGGGCGAGTGCCCCCAGCATTTCTGTTTAAGCCACCTCCAGTGTGTGGACCGAGGGGGATGAGTGGCACCTCTCCTGCCTGAGGGCTCCGAAAGCACCCGACAGCCCTCCCCCTTGGGAGGGGGGGGGAGAAGAGTGCGCGGTGCCTGCGAGTTCCAGGGGGCACCACTTCCACCCACGCTGGCTCCCCGGAGACAGAAGCTGACCCGTGCATGGAAGTTCTCCCTCCCTCTCCAGCGGGGTCAAAAGCCTGCTCCTGAAGTTAGGAAGAAGGGGCGCTCGGGCACAGCACCGAGTGAGACTGGCTATCCAGGCGATGCAGATGCGCCGGGCCGCAGGATCTGGGCGCTGGGGCGCATGGCGGGAGAGGCGAGTGCCTGGAACGTGTCCTCCATCTGGAGAGGGGATGCTCTGCGGCTCTGAATGCCGCCGAAAGAGCCGCGGCCATGTGCTGTGCTGTGCTGTGCTGCCAGGGAGCGGAGCTGGAGCCAAGGTATGGCAGGTGCGGCAGTTTCCCTGGCAGCCTCCTGCTGGACAGATGCATGGCCTGTGGGGCCCAGGAGCAGGCGTGCGGGCCAGAGTTCGAGCACGGCACGCCTGGCCGGGCTGGAGGGATGCCGACGGCTGTCTGCGCCATGCTGCCTGTTGCCATTTATAGTCTGGCCCCCAATGGGTTATGCAACAACAGGCAGCTGGTTATTTTGGGGGTGTTAAATTATGGACAAAAGAGGAATTGTGTTGTGCTGGGCTTCATCCGCGTCACCAGCCACGTCAGACCTGCTACCTCAGGCCATTGCCTGGGCTGCTGCCTTCCACCCAGATGATCCCTCACTGAGGTCTCATTTGTGCTCAGTGCCACTCAGGGGCGCCCAGATTTAAGAGGAGGCCTCCGAACCTGTCTGCCTTGGCTCCAGATGTTAGCCAAGTAGTGCTGAAACAAGCACACTCCAACTTCTCTGGCAGATCTGTTCCTGCTCTGCTTCCTACACAGGATCCAGTTTTCCCAACCTGGTGCCCTCTAGATGTCTTGAACTACAATTCCCATTGTTGGCAGCACAATGCAGTTAGTCCTCTGCACCTCCTGTGCAGGATCTATATTTGACCAAGACACTGAGAAGCCCAGAGCACTCCAGGCAATCTTGAAAACAACATTCCAGAACATGGATCTATAAATCTGTGGTTAGCAATTAGATGCCTCGGGGAGGTGGTGGTGAGAGACCCTTTGATTCGGGAATCATGGAGGGCAGACAAAGCCCTGAGTTGTACCTCCCCAAGGGCCCTGTTATGATATTTGCACCCCTTTTGTGTCTTGGGTGGCAACTGGGGGAGCGGGGACAGATAGTGCCCCTGGGGGGGTGGAGGTCAGGGGTTGGATCTGGCCCAGTAGCCTCCACTGCTGAATCCAGCTGGGAGAGATAAGTGCAGGAACGTAAACGCTATTCTTCCATTGTAGAAGAAGATTCTAGTGTGGTGGGGCGGAGGGGGGGAGCTTATTAATGAATCACCAACAATGCTGCAACTGGCATATATTGCACCCTGATCTGGCATCAACATATTTAAAAGGGCTCTGGAGAAACAGCCGGGCAGAGCTGCAGAAATGATTTCACAGGCTGAAGGTTAGGGATGCTAGCAAAGCACTCAAAACATATTGAAACCCTTTAAATATAGTCATCTTTTTCAGGATGAAAGATTAGAATACCAAAAATGCTCTCCACAGGCAGAAGGCAAAACCAATAGCTGGCAGCTAAAGAACTATGCAAACCCCTCTAAAGGCAGAGCAGTAAGCCCAGAGGGAGTGGAGAAAAAAGCAGGTCTCTCTCTCTTGCAGTTGTTCAAGTGAATACCAGTGCCCTGATCTTTGGCGGGCAGGGCAGTGCGATGCCTGTGCTTCCACTTGGAAGTGTCCAAGATTGTCAGAAATATGAGATGCCTGCTGATGACTGACGTTAGGAAGCCAAAGTCTTGTTTGTTTGTTTGTTTGTTTCCTTGTGGGAAGTCAAAACATTCTCATCTCTTCCTCTTGGTTTAGCAAGCCCATTTGCTGGGGTTGGTTCTTATTCTGCCTCTCAGGTTATGAAAACAGGCTGCCTAGCTATGGATCCACATCCCTAGTGATGGTCCCAGGCTGCTGGTGGATAGAAGCATTGCTCATTTCCCACCCTTCACAGTAAGCAGAAGCCATAGCCCCAGGCCAGTGCAGGGTTCTGTGTGGAGGTGGCACTATATCTGGGGCAAATAGGACCGTGTCCCTCTGCCTCGCCCCCACCCACTTGCGGCAAAGAAATCCTCCCATAACCAGAGACATTTGGTCCCATGCGCAGTGGGCTGCATGGTATTCTCCTGCTCTCCTTGAACCATCTCGGTGAAATATTGGGTCTTTCCCATTGTCCACCGCACCAGCTCTGGGGAGCACCAGCTGGGTGCCTCAAAGTGCCTAGCTGAGTGAAGACTCTGTGTGGCACCCCTCCCCACTCACCCCTAGCAACCCCCCCCCCCCCATAACGCTCTCTTTCTTTCAACTGCCCTGAGGGTTGGGTTTGTCTGGCAGGATGTCCCACCCCCTGACTTCCTATCTGCATCCCATATAGCCAAAGGAGAGGCACTCATGTGTGCATTCCCTGGATGAACACCTGGAAGGGGGCAGGGAACGGCCTCCTCTGGCAAAGGCAGCACCTCCTGCGGCTGCTTTGCTCGCTCTCCATCTCTTTCCATCATGGGGTGAGTTGTTATTGTGCCTTCCCGAGGGAGTGGTAATTCATCATTGCTCTGTTGAATGGCTGGAAGACATGAAGGGGCTTGTGCTAACAGACGCACAAACCTGAATGATCTCACAAGGTTAATGAACGTCGGATGAAGTTTCCTTCTGAGCTAAAATCAAGGGTTTTAATCTCTGAGGAAGCCGCTCAGAGAGAAGATGCCTTAACTGGTCCAGGCTTGGATGGCACAGCTGATGAGTGTCCGAGCTGGGAGCAAGGGGGCATCCCTGGCATCAAGCATTACCAAGAGAGTGGTTAAGTCACTTTTTCATTCCTGTACAGTGTGAGTGGTCTACCTCAAATTTTTCAGCTGGACAATTATGAGTCAGCTGCCTCTTGATTTTTTTGCTGGGAAAAGCCTGTAAAGTTTTTCCTGTGGGGTGATTAGAATGGGGGGTATTGGGGGGAGGGTACTGGCAAGTTAACTGGGGATGAGTCTCCCTGGATGCAGTGGGGAATGGGGAGGGTGGGAGGCCTGAGCAGGAATTTGCTCTGCTAGTGCTCTGGTGGGGGTGCAATCTGCCACATGCCTATAAGCTCCCCCCACCCCCCCCGCACCAGAAGCTGTAGAGAGGCCAGAGGGCTTTTATGGGGAGAGATGAGCGGCTTCCAATCCTTCTCCTCTTTCACTGCCCAAGCTCCAGCGAAAGCCACAGGCCTGAATTATGGATGAGACTCCTTGGGTTACAGCCGTTCCACCGCACCAGAGAAGAGTCCAGAGACAGAGGCAGTCAACATTAGCAGCTGCAGCTCCCTCCACCCACCCCCAGCTCAAGACAGAGGCTTTCCCCCCTGTTTTCCCTCGAGGAGACAACTGGCCTGCTATTATTGGAGGAAATGGCCCTTGCTGATGGTGAGGAACGCAGGCTTCCTTCCACCCCGCCCAGGGCCTGGGGAAGAACGGGGTTTTAGTGCAGGGCATGCGGTGGGAGAATGGGCTTTCCTTCCTGGTTTGTCCTGGAAACAGAGCACAGATGCACAGCAGCCGGGTCTCACCTCGGCGGCTGTAGTCGGTTGGCTTGATCCCCCACGCCCCAGCGGCTGTGCCCGCTTGCCCACCGCCTTGCAGGCTGGTGAAGGAATGCCTGCTCGGTGTAACTGGGTCAGCGCAAGGCTGCTGCTTCTAATCGTATGGCAAAGGAAGGGACCGGAGAGGGCAGGGACATGCTGGAAGAAGGCACAGATTGAGGCTGCTGGCCTGCAGAGGGAAGCGCGCTCAACCTTCCCTCTCCTCTTTTCCCATCTCGATCAGATGCAATCTGTGGAAAGGGGAGGTCATGGCCTCCCGTTCAAGGGGAAACTTCCGACAAGAAGCTGGGAGAAGAAGGTTCTTTAAAAAATCAGAGGGTGTTCGTGGCCTGAGCAGCTGCAACGCGTTGTGTTCTAGCCAAAAGTGTGTGAGACCCCAGAAGGTGGGGAGTGTGATGAGCAAACAAGCAAGAGGAGCGTGATGTAGACCTGACTGAAGCAGCAGGGGATGGCTGTTGTCCTGCTCCATGTGGGGTACAGTAGCGGCTCCTTGGGGGGTGCCAGTGGCTGCAGCGGTGCTCGTCACAAGCAGGATGGAGGCTGAAGGGAGTGGGCAGAGCACTCGCGGCCCAAGTGGAGGAGGTGGTGTGAACTCCCGAAACAGCATCAGCAGCTTGTGCTACTCGTTTACTGCACCGTGCCACCCACACACTCGCAGACAGAGGTTGGGAGCCGCGCACGCGTGCATTGGAGCGCTCACGTGAAGCCGTGGTGCCCCACACCAAAGCAAAGCTGAGGGCTCGCTTACCCAGGGGAGCACGTGCACCTGGCAGCCTTCTCACGTGCGACGATGGCTTGCCAGGGCTTCCAACTCGGGTGACTTTGGGAGTCTCGCTATGCGGAATTTTTCTCTTTGCATCCCAGCCCTTGAGGAGAGGGAAGCTTTTGGCTGTTTTGGCGTTGCAAAAGATTAAAGCAGCGTAAATAGTCCTCAAGGAAAGGATGGAGCTGTGAGCTTGAAAATGTATTTAGCAAAGGACTTTACAAATACATAAGTACCCAAAAGACCAAGGATGGACTCTTTGGTGATTTGTCCTAATCTTTTAACATTTCAGTTTAATTGACCCTTTTCAATGGCAAGTGGCATGCGTTCAGTGGGCAGGACTATAAAGAGACAGTATGGCGTAATGGAGGGAGTGTCAGAAAGTCGATTGGGATCTGTTAGTAGATCTATTAGTACAGGGGCAGAAAGTAGATAAGGTTCTACTACTAGATCTTCAGGTGAGATGAAGGATTTTTGACTCATAATTATTTAACAATAGTATTGACCAAGAAGCCTTCCCTGCCACACGCAGCCTAGATTTTGCTGCCGACATGAAGAAAGCTTGTGGTTACCAGAAGTGGATTTGTGTGTGGAAGGAAGATGATCCACATTCTGATTCAGTACTTGAAGCGAAAACCTGGACTTTGGATTCTTTAAAGCTCAGCATAAGTCTTTTGCAGCAGCCTCCAACAGGTGACTCCTGGAAGGTTAATAAAAGGTAGATCCTGCAAGCCTGGGTTATTCTCATCTCTGCTGTCATGGTTAGAATCAGGGCTCGGTAATAATAGCAGGGCTGCCTTGAAGCTGCCCACGTGGGTGGCGAGTTGGGGATGCCTCCCTGGAGCCGCCCGTGCTGGCTCACGTCACGCCGGCAGGGGTTTGGTGGCTCATCCCCTGTTCTTTCTTTGCAGGCTTGGCTCCCACCTTCCTGCTGCTGCTGGCCGTGCCCCTCGGTGCACCCATGTGCCCCATGCTTTGCACTTGCTACTTTTCTCCTCCCACAGTCAGCTGCCAGGCCAATAACTTCTCCTCGGTACCACGGATCCTGCCACCCCATGCGCAGCGCCTCTTCCTGCAAAACAACCTGATTGGGACCCTGCGGCCTGGGATGTTTGGGCCCAGCCTCACCACCCTCTGGCTCTACTCCAACAACATCTCCTCCATCCACCCGGGCACCTTCCGCCACCTCCAAGCTCTCGAGGAGCTGGACCTTGGGGACAACCGCAACTTGCGCACTCTTGACCCAGACACTTTCCGGGGGCTCGAGCGGCTGCAGTCCCTGCACCTGTACCGCTGCCAGCTCAGCAGCCTCCCAAACACCATCTTCCGCAACCTCTTCAGTCTACAGTACCTCTATCTTCAGGAGAACAACCTGCTTTGCCTGCAGGTGAGCAAATGGCTAATTCTGGTTGAGCGTGGCGTGGGGGCTGTTTCCTCTGGCCTCAGCAGCAGGGGTGGGAAGCCCAAGGCAGCCCTCTGGGCCTTCGTCGGTGGCCCTGCCTCTTCCTCTGGCCCCTCCCTGGGTTGTCCCACCATGAATTGTGTGCCGGTTTCCCATCTTTTGCACAGTGTTTTTTCCTGCATGGGAGGCTGGTGACTGCAGTGATAGTGGGGTAGGGCTTTAGCCCAAACTTTTAAGGAGCTGTCCTTTATGCAGAACCCTAGCCCGGAGCTGGATCCAGGACTGCAAAAAGCTTATTTCAAAGTTTAGACTGAACCCTGCTGCACTGACATTGCAGGCACCAGCCAGCGTTGTTTCTTTTGCTTTCAGTTCTAGCAGGACATGCTTCTCTTAAGGCTTAGTTGCTGTATATAAGAGCATTAAGCTGAAATCTGCTGGTGGTTTTGGTGTCCTGGCATCACCCCCTCTTGCCATTGCTCCTGCCTACCACTGGAACATGGCTCTTGAGAGCCTTTCCAAAACTGATTTCAACTCTCAGGAGGAAAAAGATTCCCCCTCCCTGCTCTAGAGGGAGCTGGTTCACCGAAGGGCCACGAGATGGGCTTTCCTTTCCCTTTGGGTGATCCTCCGCACAGAACTTCTTCCATTTGCAGATCTGTGACCCCTGTGAAATGTGCTGTCAGAATGGTTTCTCAGGAGGAGTTTCTGCATTTGTTGCATGGCCTGGTGGCAAGGGAGGGAGGGCAGCCTGGGAAGGGGGGGAAATGAGCAGCCACTGGAAGCTGAGGGTGGAGGAGAATATCCAGCTTTGAATTGGAAGGGAAGGCTGTGAGTGGGGGGCGGGGGCGGGCAGTCACCTCACTTTGCAGAAGAGGGAGGTGGCAGAGCAAGTGCTGACAAGGATCTTCACAGTGGATGTTTTAGCACCGTCAGTGGCTTAAGCTCCTCACCTTCCTTTAGCCCTTGAGAAGAGCTGAAACTCCTTCCATGTGCCAGTTGCAGGGAATATCCAAGACCAACTGACATCATGCTCACAAGCTGAGCTAAGTACATGTGGTTTAGGAGATAGAGAACAGAAACCACAAAGGAAGTTAGTGCTGAGAGTTGGTTAAGTTAATACATACAAAAGGCACATGTCTTAACTCGCCATTTCTTCTTTATTCCAAATCTGGGTTTGAAGTACAGAGGAATACCCTCTAACCTTAAGATAATACACATGTGAAGCCTATCGGTACAATCATTATTGTACTTATCATTAAAATAACTAGAAAGAGAAAATGTAAGAGAAGCACTGCTTACCCTAGAAAGCAGACCCCCTCCACCCAGAGCTGCTCGCTCCAGCCTCCTGGCTGAGTGGCCTGGTGTGCCTTTTATTCCTGTCCTTCCCCAGGGTGGCTGCTGCCTTGCAGCCTTCAAGAGAGGTGTGGACTCGGCCCCCCAAAAGGCTGTTGCCTTGCACCCATGCCATGGGGGTGCTTCCTCATTCTTGCCCAGATCACGGTTGCCTCACTCCCATGTCAGATACGGGCTCATTGTATCTCCCCCAGCAAGGGCATTTGGCTAAAACCCTGTATTTAAGCTCAGGATATCTGATGGCATGTGAAGCAGACCCTTGAGGGGGCAAGTGAGGCCCTGCGCCATAGGAAGGAGGACTGGCAAAGATCCAGTGTGGTGCTCCATCCTCCCCCTCCTGCCGGCTCTCCCCTGAAGGCAGATGCTCAGTGCCCTGCCAGCGACTCACTTAAAAACCACATGCCTATCCGGCCCTGGGCCCTGTGGCTTAAGTGTAGGGAAGCTGCAGCCTGGTCTGCAGCAGTAAAAATGCATTTGCAGATCATGCCTTGGTGCTTCAAGCCACATCCTTAGTGGGAGAAAGGACGGTGCTCACTGTGTGGGAAGGGAATGAATTCTGTACTTGCAGTGCAAGGCTCCAGCGCAGGAGCTGGCGCAATGGCAACCTTGGGTTTCCACCCCAGAGTAGATTCTTGCAGAGGGGAAGGGGGCCTGAGAGAGCACTGGAAATGTCCGGCGTGTGGGGGAATGAATTAAGGTGGGGGAGGCAAGCTTTGGGGCCAGAGCACATTTGGCGGAGTGAGAAACTCTCTGGAGTCCCAGCACATAGGCTGCCCAGGGAGGTGGGGCAGAGGACAAGTCGCCTGCCTGAAAGACTGGGCAGAAGGCAGAGGGGTGGCCTGAGCCCCAGCATGCTCAGGAACTCCTCTGAGCCCCCCAGTTTCAGCACCAGCAGAAGCCTATTTCAGCAGCAGCTCCAGCATGTCCTTAGAGCAGTGGGATACAGCTGGCGCATTGTCAGGTACCAGGAAAGGAGTCTGTGGGTGCCTTGGTGCCCACTGCATTGCACCGCCAGCCCCTGAATGGAGTTCTCTGCAGCCAGGTTAAAATATCCTATGCAAAGTGGAGGTCCCTTGGCCTGGGAAGCAGGGGACACCTACATCAGTAGGGCTCTGCATCCATTGCAGCATTGCTTTGGAGCACTTTAGGATCTATCCATGGTCCTGAACTCAATGCATTCACCACCCTGAAGCGCCATGGCTTGCTCTCCTGCAGCTTAAAAGCAAAGCTGCGGTCCATGAGAAGCATCACTGCCGTAGGCATCACAAGCGTCCCCTCCCTCCTGAGCCAGTCCTTTTTCCGATGGTGGTCTTCATAGCTTGTCCTTCTTCCTCAACCTCCCAGGATGACCTTTTCGTGGACTTGGCCAACCTGAGCCACCTTTTCCTGCACGGCAACAAGATCTGGCAGCTCTCCGAGTATGTCTTCCGGGGCCTGTCTGGATTAGACCGCCTGCTGCTGCACCGGAATCGCCTGCATGCCATTCCCGCGTGGGCCTTCCGTGACCTGGGCAAGCTCACCATCCTGTACTTGTTCAACAACAGCCTGACCATGCTGTCTGGGGATACGCTCTCGGACCTGCCATCCCTGGAGTTTCTGCGCCTCAACAACAACCCCTGGGCCTGTGACTGCCGTGCCCACTCGCTGTGGGGCTGGTTCCAGCGCACGCGTGTCTCCGTCTCGGATGTCATCTGCGCATCTCCAGCCGAGCGCAAGGGCCAGGACATGCGCTACTTAAGGGAAGCTGCCTTCCAGGGTTGCCCTCTGGTTACTCACCCCATTGGGTTTGACTGGGGCTGCCACTCGGAGTGGGAAGGTAGAGCATCTCTTCCCCACCCCCACCCCCACCCTCACCCCCACCCTCGCCCCCACCCCAATGGCTCATCCAATCACCTCTATGGCCTCGGAGGCTCACCTCCTGCTGACCCCTCCTCCTTCTATAGGGACGTGCCAGCCAATGACATCCGCAGCCCCAAGTATGACCCACCCACAGAGGATGACTACTGGGAGAGCTATGGCAATGAAGAAGGAGGGCAACTGAAAAAGGGGTGCCCGGGACCTGGCTGCTCTTCCCTGGACTCCGGCGCAATCAGGATTGGCTCCCTGTCGTTTCCCCTGACCTGCCTACTGATGCTGTTGGGACCGTCTTGGTTTTGACCATGGGGTGGAGGGAGCTGCTCTGCTGGAGGTGCGTTGGCTTTGGGAACTGAGACTGTGGGGAATCCAAGCCAGGAGGGATCCCCACCAGCACTTAGCTGAGGCCAAAGCGATTAACCATCACCTTGTCCCGGGGTGAAAGGGATACTAGGTCCATTCCTGCTGCTCTTTTCCTGGTTAATTGTGAGACTTATCAATGGAGCCACTTTCTGGTGGTATCTGACCTGTTTCATGAAGCTAGGGCAAGAATGCCCCTTTTTATTTCCGGGGTGTTGCATTACTCTCCCATTAGAGATATTCCCTAACACTATCGCTTCCTGGCTCTGTTAGGGCCCTCCTCCCTCCCTCCCTCTCTCTCTTTTCCATACCCTGGAGAGAGAGAGCAAGGATCTCTTCTGTGCCTGATAAGGAAGGATGGAATGGAAAATAGCCAGTTTTTCAGAGCCACTTTCTTTCAATAGTATCCAGCCTTGCACACAAGACCTTGCTCTGTCCAACAGGACAGGATCCTGCAACTGAAAAGGAAAATCCTATCTGCTTCTGGAGCTGGAGAAATCTATGGGAATCTTGTCATGCTTGGTGTCTCTCCATCATCTGGTCCTTTTTTTTTTTATTTATTTTATTTTATTTTATTTTATTTTATTTTATTAAGGGAATACCAGGAGTCCCCTTAATTGTCTGAGGTGATTGTTGCTAAGTGCAAGGCTTCAGTGGTTAAGTTAGTCTTCCCAACAGGATTAGACCTCAGTGATGATAAAAGTTGCCAAGCTGGCTAATTCACTCATCCTGGTCAGAAGCTTTTAGGCAGAGGTTGAATGGCTACTGATCAGGGATGCTGCAGCAGTGGATTCCTTGCATCCACAGCGGGTGAGGCTAGATGACCTCTGAAGCCCCTTCCAGCTCTATGATTAATGGTTTTAATCCACAGTTGCAGGGAGCACATGATAACACCTAATCATGTGAATTGGCCCTTAGTCATAGTACCTGGTCTTCCGTTTTTGTGGATGTCTTTCCCTTCGTACCTCCCTGCATCCCTTTAAGAAATGGCTGGTTGGAGAACTGATAAACTGCTTTAATATGGCTTGGTGGACTCAGTCACTCAAGAAAATGAGTAATGGGATATGCAGAGAGAGCCCTCTTGAGGGAAAAGCTGCTTAAAGGAGCTTGCAGTGGCCGGCTGGCAGCAAGATAACTGGAGAATGAGAGCGGCTCCAGCTGGAAGTTTTTCATTCCCCACCAGACATTCTGGTACTGATACTCACTGGAGTAGTTCCTCCACCAATCCGGCAGTGAAAAAGATCAAGCTTTCAGTCACCCCTCCTCTCTGACTTACTCAAAATACCATTCGTGCAGCTGGTCTTACTGCGATCAAAGCCGTGGCACATTCACTGCTCTGAGACGCAGGTTTGCCACAGAAGAGCGTGCACGGGGTGCAGTGACTTCCCTGAGCTTTGCTCCCTGACGTGTACCTTTAGAACGCACGTATTTCTCACATTCACATGTTTACTTTGTAAAGGTGTGTACCTAAATGATGTGATGTAATGAAGATGGTCTCAAGTGAATGGGCTGTGGTAGTTTTGGAACCAGGCCAGTTCTAAATATAATAATACAAAAGTGTTTTTTTTTAACAACCTTTGATCTGAATGGCTGTTTCCATGTTGTTAGCCTGCAACATAATTTCTTTACAAAGCTGATAGACTGCCTTTCAAGAAAAAGTTCTCCAAAGTGGTTTACATGATAGAAGTGGAAAACGATCAAGTCACCTTAATTCAAAACATCTGCATGTCACCCTGTACTTAATTTCAAGCAGCCCTCAGCCTCATTTCAAAACCCTCTAAATGCAATCATTCGGGCCCTTTGGCAAAAGCAGTCTTTCTATTTCCTGGAAGGAATGAAGGCGAAAGAAAATGGGGCAGTGGAAAGAGGAAAAGTGACATGCTTCTGGCTTTGGTCCCACCTACCTGTGACATGTGGCCACTGGCAGGTAATAGATCAAAGAATGTGGCTCTTGACCAGCAAAGGTGTGGCCCATCTCTGTTCAGCATACTTCACCCTGCTCTCTTTGGTGTATGGAATATTCCTTGAAGGGCTCATTGGACAGGTGGTGTCACAGCTCCTGGTTCCTGCCAGTGGAGGCTGTTGGAGGTACTTCAGGAAATGGGTGCCCAAGGCCACCCCTGCTTTTCCTCTTTGACGCTGTAGCCTGGCCAGGCCTACAGAAGCCATAGGGAATAAAGCACTGCACTGGAGGCAGACGGCAAAGCAGCAGCCTGGGCAGCCCGTGAGGTTATTCTCCACGAGGACGGGGACTGTGAAAGGGCAATATCACCATGGCTGTCTGAGCAAGATGGCGGTGGACCCAGCTGCCAAGAGAAGCACTGTGCTCTCCCACACTAGAGGCATTCAAGAAGAACACAGGCAGCCATCTGAGTGGGATGGTGTAACCTGGTGTCCTGCACCAGCAGGCAGTTGGACTCGATGGCCTTCTTGGCCCCTTCCAACCCTGCTATTCTATGATTCTTGATTTCATTCAAGGGCAACTTGGAAAAAATCCACTAAGGGCAGTCAAAATGTTTGAAGTCTTGTAGCCATTTAAAGCTGAGCCATTGATTATGGCATCGGATGTTACATCTGATGAAGTGGACTCTGATCCAGAGCAACATATGTTAAATAATGATAAATTAGTCTTTGAGGTGTTCCAGGACCTTAGAAAACCAACCGTGCTCACCCCCCTGGAAGATGATAGTCAAGCCTTTCCCAACCTTGTGCCCGCCATTTCTTTGAACTTCAGTTCCCATCAGCCCCTGCCAACATGGCAATGGTCAGGAATGCTGGGAATTGTAGTCCAAAACAACTGGAGGGCACCAGGCTGGGGATGGCTGCAATATGAACCATATGGGCAATGGGAAAAAGCAGGTAAAGAGAAAGGTTTCCTACAGGTGTACAGAAGCATCAGAGCATTAGGTGGGAGCACTTCTCATTCTCCCTGTTCTAAAGAAAGAAGCTTGTCACCGATAATTCTGGAGGATCAAAACTTGTTCTTTAAATGGCGTGTTCAGCTGAAAAATTTCTGCACTGGCATTACTCACGAAGATTTTTTTTAGTACTTGTTCTGCTTAATTCCTTTCATTATTTGCCAAAAATGGCATCTTTTGGCAACACAATATGCTAAAAAATACAATCTCTCTCCTTGTCTCTTCCCCTTCCCCCATCTTGTTTAGCAACAAGAGAATATCCCAAATCTGAAGATATTATTCTATTCTCTGCAACCGTTGGATTTGTGGTTTGTTTTGCAGCTTTCAAAAAGAGCCCCAAGTATGTTTTGTACAGATAGGAGAGGTCCTGAGCTTTCTAAAATAAAATTCAATCAATAGAGCCCTGGGTTTCTGCATTCAGGGAACGTGGATTTTTTGGCTGGCATGAGAATCCTGGGCTGCGTGCGGCTTAATACTGTCCTGGGAACTGCAAATGGTGACAGAGAGAGGGTGCTAGCGAGGCTCCGACTTAATGTGAGCAGAGAGGGGCAGCCCTTGGGGGTGAGATGGCAAGAGGAGGATGCATCATCCTAGGAGAAGGGCAGCTTTCTTAATTTAACTTCACATAAGGGAGAGAGAGAGAGAGAGGAAGTCAGAACTGGGAGTGGGTTATTTTTAGCATTCGGAAACCTGCTAGTAGCCAGAGTTAAATGTGAAGAGTACAGGTGCAGCGTGTGCATGCTGATGCCTGTGCGGGCGCCCGTTGGAGGGGGGAATGGGGTTAAGCAGCCTGGCAGCATATTGGCAAGGAATTTAGGGGCAGGAAGGCAGGGGGGGTGCTGGAGGTGGGGGGTGGGGGGCTTCTGCTCAACAGAAGCCGCTCAATGGCTGTACTGTGACGGAGGTGAGGCCTGGCGTTGACGGGGTAGAAGGTTGGGGTTAATTGGCAGGGGGGCAGGCTGAGGCCAGAGCTGCAGCATGGGCCATGCTGAGCCGTGAAATGGGAGGAAAGTGCCATTAAATCTGCCAGCAAGACTCCAGCGGGCTCAGTCTTTCCAGGTCAGGTAATTATCCTTGTGAAATATTCATGACCCCTTATCCCAGATGCTATTTCGGGGGGGGGGGGGGGGGGGGGATGTGAAAATGCAGGCTCCGGAAAATACACACACATGGCTACATCGCTGCATGAATCTTTACAAATTACATACGTCCCGGTACCTCCTGCCCACCCTTGTCCTCGGCACAGGCAAACATCTCTGCAGCTTCTGCACGGATGGCTTCCGGTCCACACGCAAGACAGGGCTGACCTGCTTAGCAGTGGGTCATGATGGGCATGGCGGATCCTGCCTGGCCTCATCCTACCCCCACCCCTACCAAATCGGGGAGTTGCCTTGCTGGTGCTCCCGCTAGAGCGTGCTTCCTTCTAAAAATCCAGGAGCTCGGCACTTCTGCAATATTATTTTTAAAACTAAGTCAACAGTGATCTCTTCCTGCAGAAGGCGGGCTATATTTGCTCTGGCTAGGAACCACGGGCACCAACTTAGTTTCTGTGTGACCCATTTGTTCTGGGAACTAAACATTTTAGGATGATTCGCCCTACAGCCAGGTATTTTCAACCTTCAGAATGAATGGCAAATCTGACGTGCTGGAGTGGAGCTGCTAAAAATAGTCATTTGCAGAGGCCCTCAGTGTTTGCCATGGGGGGGGAGGTGAAATGCCCACACAGGGAAATAACCTGATTGGGTACAAGAAAGCAGTGGGGTGATCACAGGCAACAAGCTGCCCCGGACACTTTCCTTGGTGCCCACCAAGCCACAGGACTCCTCCCAGTTTTTATTTCAGCTATTTTCAGTCCTTGGTCCCTGGCAGGTAGGATTGCCTCCAAGTAATGTGGGAACCTCCAGTGTGTTTTGTCATGATTGCCCCAGGCAAGGTTGCTTATCAGCTGTGAATAGCCATGCCTACCCATGGCCACCATTTTATGGTTCTGCCCAGGACAATTTTTTAGGCTTCCAAATGTGCCCATTTGCCCAAAAAGTGGTCTTCCCCTGCCGTGTGGCATAAAAGAGCTCCCTTCTTCTCTCTCCTCCACAAGCTGGCAGGTGTGCACAAGCACTGCGCCGCAGCATCCTCTGGAGTGTGGGAAGCCCCCGGATGCCTCCCCTATCCTCACCCAGTTCTCTCCCTCAATTTGCTTAGCAAAGGGACGAGGAACAGAAATCAGCAAGGCATGCTGGAGATTTCCTCCCTGCTTGGCCCAAGAAGTTGCCCTGAGAGGTGCTGGGCTCTCCCACACTAGAGACAGTCAAAAAGAATCTGGACAGCCATCTGGGAGGGAAGGTGTAAACTGGTGTCCTGCAACAGCAG